GCACCCCCTCCTGTTAAGCTCCGCAAGCCTCAGAATGCGATATTCGTGGGATCGGTTTATCTCTACCAAGCGTATATACAATGAACAGTATTCAAACTCCCAAGAACGAGTCTGTACAGTAGATGTTTCGACCAGTACCTCATAAAAAATAATTACTGGCCCTTAAATACTATCCCCATAGCCACCTGCAAAGCGGTTCTGGCCATACAACCGTTCCGTTCACCAGTGATGTGAGAACGACTATGCATCAAGGACAATGGCGCATATTTTTTAAAGGATAGATTCGGCGTTCTCCCGACAATGAAGAAACCAAGAAGAGTAGCTATCGAATCAATGGCCTGGATGCACGCACTTCACTGAGTGCATAGCTGAAATATTGCCTCCCGTGTCCGTTGGTACGTACCGTCTCAGGGGCCTTCATTGTGGAGGGTCGCGATTAGCAACGCCGTAATGTTTGATCATTGACTGGCCCGATTGACAGGTTAACAGTCAACAAACACAAGTGAAGGAAGCTAATTCATCAATGGCCGCGAAATCTTATCATATTTTACTCTGGCACGTGGCTTGCAGCACTGCTTCGCCGAGGGCCATAATAACGCCTTTGACGAACTTGTGATCTATCTCTCGGACCAGAAGATTCGTCAACTCGGCACACGTGGAGATAACCGGGATTCAAAAAAGCCAACACAAAGCATAGAATTAGCTAAAATAGGAAACGTGGGTATGGTGGTGCAAGTGGAAGGGGCTAACCATAAGTGTTTTTGGAAAACTGGGGGAGGAAAACATTACAGCTATGCCAAATCAGATAGGACCTGTTTATGGGACGAACCAAGCACTTGGCACAAGTGTTTTCAGCGAGAAACAGCCCAATTTCAATGGTACAGGAATGATTCGTTCATTCAAGGTGATTTATAGTCACACTTCAATGGTGAGTCTCTAAGAAACAGAAGCGTGAGACTCTTTGATATAAGACTGTTTGGAAAGGAACTGGGGACCAGGAACAAACTTTGTAAAAAGAATTTGAATTGGGGCAAAGGTCCCGCAAAATTCCACCAGTCTTTTAGGGTTGAGTGGCAAAAGGAACCATAGGGCTGACTGTGTTCCAAGCAGAAATGTCGGATCATAGAGCAGGTAATGTTTTCTTGAGGAAACATTGCACATCATTCAGCTCCTAGAAGTGAGAGCAACAGTTAAATACAAGTGGTGCATGCTTACCTCATCACTGGATGAATGTCCAAGATTGGCATAAGAATTAAATTCACATTTGGTCATTCGAAACATTTTTAACAGATCATGAGTAGCACTTCCCATCTGGTGAGAGACAAGACAGTCTTCTCGACCATGGCACTGGAAAATAGGCGTTTCCCTGTGTCCATTGATTAGCTAGCATCGAAAAATTAGTTCAAGAGGTGCAAAACCGTACCGACTGATCACTGACTAATTTCGAATGGAGAGGCAGCCAGCAACTCAGAGCTACCACACCGGCATACGGGTGACCTTTCGTCACGGCGTTGTACAACGCGACCGAACCACCTTGAGAGAAGCCACCAATGACGATACGGTTAGCTGGTATCCCTGCCTTTATTTCCGCCTGAACGAATTTTTCTACTACGATGTTCATGAACATGATTGGTTAGTTAAACCATGAAAAACGGACGTACGCTCATTAGTTGCCTCCAAAATACCGGCTTCATCCTGTCTAGAATCTGGGGCGAGTCCATGGATATCGTACCAAGCTGGCATTCTCATTCCACCATTTAGTGTGACAGGTATGGCAGGCCTACAAACGCATAAATTCCATAAACAAGTGGATTTCTTAAACTTACGCATTCGGGCAAATAAGCTTGCAGTAGTCTGGAACAAGCTCCCTCAAAACGGACGACCAGCCACGACTAGATCAACGTAGTAGAAAAATCAAAAGCAACATACCCGTCATCGCCAAGGCCGTGAAGGAAAATGAACTATCGAAAAAAAACCATGAGTGGATGATAGTATGCACAGAAATAAAACACTAATTGGGATAGACTGAATCGGGATAGTGATGTTAACCGGAGCCCAACAGTCGGAGCTCGTGACGTTGATCAAACACTTATCGCATTAACGAGAAGGCTGCTGTGCTCCTTCAAGGACAATCGTTAGACTGACAAATAATAGACATTTCAAGTAGAACTAGGAAACCACATTACCGATGAACCACTTGCAAACTCGTATACCCCAGTTGCAGTTCCCTGATGGTGTCTCAGTACAACCACGAAATACACACCGGACGTCTCGGTTGCCTTATTCACCACATACAACAGGTCGGATAAAGGAAAACATGCTACCGCTGATGCCCCCCACGTCTCTAACCCCGTCCACTTACACTAAACGACCATTCTTCTGCAGACCCCAGCTGTTAGTATGTCGGGCAGGCACCTAGGGAAGTGACCAACTGCACACCACCGTTCACACTTGCCCCTTCACATTCAATAATCGGACGTCGTTCCTTGTTCTCAGTCGATCCTTTGATGCTCAAAATTGCAAACAAGTTGGCCACCTAAATGAATCGGAAAAACTTAAGTGAAGGATGTGTGGGAAGGAGTCAGGAAATGAAGAGCTACAAAGACGAATGATACTTCCGGGTACCCAGGCCGAACAAGGTTTGGTTGAAGCACTCCAGGTTGAGCCTTTGACTCAACATTTTAACCCACAATGCAGTGGGAGAATGAAAGGTTTCGTTCAGGGACCCTTCCTCTCGACTTTGAGACAAAGGTCTGCACCGCGAAGAAGTGGTTATTAGGGCCTGCTTGGGGGCCCTTCACGGAACCACTGACTTAACAGTCTGACCCATTTGGCTACAGAGCACTTGAGTAATTTGAGGGCGTCGGGAGTAAGACATTATTGTCTGTTTCGTAATGCGGCGGCACGTACCTTCTAAGCAACACGAAGTTGTTCTGTTTCGAAAGTACTTTGACCGTAGTGAGTAATGCACTGGCGGTCGCGGTCAACCGTTGTGCGATTTTTAGGGCTCCAACTCGTCCTTCCTATGTGGAAGGCGGCACTGTTGCTTCTATGCGTTCAGCTGTAGCACCCTTCTGGTGCCTAGCTGCCATGCCACCCGAAGGAAGCACGAGGGCTGGGATACTGCCAGGTTGCCCAAGCCTAGACATGGGAAGTCGAGTGGTGGGGGTCGGATTCGAACTACGGACCTTCCGGTCAGTAAATTCGCGCTCTAACCACTTGGGCCATCTCGGCCCCATGAATATGAATATGAATATGACATGATGGGCGTCTTACTGCTTTCACGCTCCTATCACAGAAAACAGTACAAATTTATCCCCAGGTCACCTCATAATACGATTTCTCGCAGTGCGATTGCTCTTTGTTGACCTTCCTGGTTTGAACGAACTGTAAGGAAATGAGTTTCAGCCTTTCTAGCCAGCAAGACCATCCGTTCAGTTGTAACACCCTTTCGGTGCCTATGCGCAACGCCACCCGAAAGTTTGGTCAACAAGGCAGCATCACAGCTCTCGTGTTTCCTCCGAGAGGCAGGGTAGCTGGGCACAGAAAGGGCGTTACGGCTGAACGATCATCATCAATGGATCCATTTGTTCTCAGATAAAATACGTCCTTTGGTTCACCTAAAACGATAGTTAAACATCGCACCTCTTACGGTCGTTGATTCCTGTTACATTATCAGTAAAAACAGATACCTGCGATGTTGCCATCGTAGCAACTTCAAGCCAGAATGGTCAAACTATTGCATCTTTTTTCAGGATTCTATTGAGATGCTGTTGAGATAAAAGCCTACGGGGTCATCGAAACTGTGCGGAGACAACACTATCATCTTGTAAGCATACTTCTCCGAACCGAAAATTCGGTGCACCTTTGTACGATTTGGGACGAAATGGTAGGATAAGAAGCGAGAAATTCGAGTAGTGGAGAATCAGCCGTTTACGAAAGACAATTTGGCGTGTAGTGTTCTTCCACGATCTCATCGTACTCCGAGGACTGCATGGTTTACTATCACCATCGTGTTGCTCGAGCGGCTCATCCTGACTTATTTGTTTAATAATAAATTTGAAATTATTGCCTGTTCGGCAAGTGAAGTATTGAAACAGATTTTTTCCAAACCAACTATAATCTTAACAAAAGTACTCAACCACTCGAACGATTCAGTGTGAATTTTACAGGATCATTTCCGCCAGTGACTAGCAAAACTTAGGTTCATTGGCGAGTATTTCCACTTTCCGTTTGCTTTCCCACGCCCAGCTACGCCTTCTCAGGTGGTTACTGTCTTTGACAACTCTTCCCCGCATTTATTACGCCTTCAGATACTATTTTTGCAGAGGTCCATCTTTTCTATGGTTCGAGTTAACCCACTTTTGCATCAGGGATTACCGACTAGTCGAAACTGCGGCCTACCATTCCCAGAGCAATGTTTAGCGTGAAATGCTCAATGGAATGCTGTGAAGGGCTGTAGTACTGACTACGAAATCACGCAATCTACCTATCGAATACTGGAGAGCATTCCCGCACGGGGCACAGCATTCCATTTGTTCCTTACTGTTGACATATATCTGGACACTGCTCTAAATTCAAACCCTTCAGTGTTTTCACCAAACAGTTCATTTTCCGAAAAGTTTTCCATTCGGCATGAAGGTTATGATACCATTGCCCTACTCATTTTATGTCACTACTTCCCTGTTTTCCTACTTTGACCTCAAGATGGTGGTCCGTGATGGGAAGGTCCGTGTTTCGAACCCAACCTCAGCATCTCGACTGCTCTAGCCTAGGTGCGAGCAACCTAACAGTATCACAGCCCTCGTGCGTTCTTCTGGTGGCACGGCAACTAAGTATTGAAAGGGCGTTACAGCCAAACCATTATTATACTATCATTACTTCAACATACATAATCGATTCTCAAAACGACAAGCTTGAATACTCGGGTGTTCTTGCTACTGTCACTAGAGAAAACTAGAGCTATCTTCAACCCTAACCCGTAGCAAAGGCATCGTATATTAACTCCTATGGGTGTGTACAGGCATATAGCAGGCTTACAGTCACGTTCACCATAAACAACGATGTAGGACAATGCTTGCCTCTCTCACCATTCCTCTTCCACTTGATTATGCCGCTTGATGCTTCCTTGTCCGCCCCTGAAACTTCGAGGCGGTTCAAAATATCTCACAGTCGTCACCCGCACATACTCAGCAAACAGACTATATTGCTCTTCTTGATTCGCATTTCTTAGAGGCGCAAGCCCTTTTAAACGGCATAGAAAATCTAACGCACAGTTTGGTATGCCATTCAAAGACGCAAATTGTTGGGCACTGCCACAAGACTCAGTGGGACTGAATCCTGCTTTCAGACTAACAAATCTAACCTGTCGCTTTTAGTGCGTAGTTAAACGGCAGTGAAGCATCGATGTTGAACACTGATATCATGCTGTCCATGAGGATGATGATGATGAGTGCGTAGTTGTCCACCTTCTCACTTCATCAGACGACTGGGGGTCATCGAGTAACCGACTATCATCACCCAATCGACTTGGTATGTCTCCCCTTCTCTTGCCTCCATCGAATACCGAAACTGTAGTGGTTAGAATAATCGTATACTTGATACAAGGGTATTGGCTAAAAATCTGAACTGGACTGAATCGGTAAAAAGCAATGGAATTGAATATCCTCATGAACTTCTTTGAAACTCTGGACCGGTTTTCAACTCTGTGGTGAACTTTTCGTTGCAAACAGCTGCTTAAAGCTCGCACTTATTTGCGTATTATCGACTTCAGTAGGAAGCCTCCCAGTCTTTCACCACCTATGTGAAAAGGGTGACCAGCATGCGAATTCATTGAGTTTCATTCTCTTGTCCCACACGACGGTTGGGTTGAGTAACCAACTGAGAGCTGCATCGGACCGGACCACATTTTAAAGACTGCCAGGTGGGAGGTAGATGCTATATCTGGGAGAAAGCAAGTTAAAGAGGAAGTAGGAGTTGCGGCGGCAACGTTAGAAGGTGTGTTCTTTTGTATCCGCGGGGATTGGTCGTACTGTCCTTTATCGCCTTATGGTAGGCCGCGAAGAATCGACTCGAGAGCAACAAGCGTGATTCCAACCAGTTATGGGTTGCATTGACCAAATCAGGTGCAGGACAACGACCCACAATTTTAGAATTCCTAGATTTCTAAAGTGCATTCGATTCAATTGACCGGTCTATTCTTACACTTACATGGTGAGGAATGCCCCGGACGTTTTTGACGTAATGAGTTCTTTGAATTTGCGGGGGTGAGTATACGGGAGCCCTCCGAAAACCTCCGTAAACAAGCTCGTATGCGATAAGAATGTCCACTCTTTATTATCCAATTTTATCATTATTCAATTTAATTTTGTGATTACGAGATAATGAGACGAACAATGGAATGGCTTCGGAACTCTGGTGTTCAGAGAGCTGCTAACGAAAACCTTGTCGATTTGTAATATACAGACATCGTTTCCCTCTTCGAGAAAAAGAAAGTGCAGTTACTTTTGGGCGGACTGACCAGTCATCGCTTCCCTTGGCATGCACTTTGCACACACAAAGGGTAAGGTCATGCTTGTGAACATTCAGCCACTGAACACGACACTTACAATCCAAGCACTCGAGGTCGTGAAGAATTTTATGTATCTTGGAAGTTGCAGCGTGGAAGATGAGATCAATACAAGAATCTCTAAAGCTCAGGTCACGTTTACGACGGCAGAGAGACATATCTCTGAATCGCAGGGAGTGTGTCTATCAGACTACAGTACGAACTGTTTTGTTGCATGAAAGTTAAGAGCGGCCTCCACGAGTAGCAGAATGAGGCGTCTTTAGTTCTTCGACAGTCGTTGTCTCACAACCATGGTTCGTGCAAGATGAAGTCAAAATCACAGGAAGTCAATTTCAGAGCAGGTGGTCGGCTGTGCAATAAGGGCGTCAGTCGAAGGATATGTCCGGTACCAGA